GCTCCTTATTGAGCCAATCTTCTATACCCAACAAATAAACCTACCACATTAATAAAATTAAATTAGTGTTATTTTAGTAATCAGAGAATATGGTAGGTTTATTTGTTGTATATAGAAGGTTGACTCCACTATCAGTTACATATTTGGTTGCTACTACTCTACTATTAGAAACGATTTTGTTCGTTGCAAATATCGTTGCAAACAGTAACGGACTACTTTCCGTTTCCGAGTATTAGCCACCCTGTTTTCATTAACCAATTATGAGTTTTCATTAACCAATTATGAAACGGAATTTGTTAGTTTCTGTTGTATATTAGTAACAGAAAAATACCCTTTAGCAACAATAATTTCCGTTTCTGAATCTCTAAGCCCCTATTTCTTCCCAAGTTTATTTTTCCTTGTTCTTCCTGTTTTTGATTGAATTCAAGAGAGCCAAACCAAAATTTTTCATGAAACTTTTACCTAAGTCGAGCCATATATTTCGAGCCCTTAAACCCCCGAATCCTCAGCCATCGAGCCACAATGCCAAACTTGAGCCGCTGAAACCTGTCATAAACCACCGCAGCCCAGGTGCATGCAGACCCGCTCGCATGCGAGTCACAGTCGCAGCCGCGCTGTGCTCGCGGATGCAACTGCCTGATGCTCGTGCTCTTAGCCAAGATCAGCATGCTGCCCACATCGTCTCTCCGTGCGCGAACCGCGAACTCTGCGCGACCCACATTGCTGATCCATCGTACCCGCGTGCTCTCTCGGCTTCCCAGACACTCCCAGCACTACCAAACACGCCTGTGTGCACTCCGAGCGACAATGTGCATGCCCTGTACCCCCAGCGCCTCAGTACCCGTGCATATGTGTGCCCCAGTGCCCCAGCACTCCCAGCGCACCAGCCAGCAAACCCAGACGCGAGCTACGTGACCTGACAACGTAGAGGTGCAGCCACGAGCCACCAGCCGCGTGCCGGACAAATCCAAACCCCATCCCGTGGACCGTCAGCGACCTTTTTTACAATTTTAGCCTGTCGAGCCTATTATTAACTTTTAAGTCGAGCATTGATTAATTTTTTATCGTCGAGCCAATAGTCAATTTGTTCATGAACCTTAGTCGAGCCTTGAGTTGCATGTAATTTAAATTAATTTCCAAAATAATATTAATTTGCATTATGTTTATGGTAGATATTTTCATCATGTAGATTTCAAGGAGTCGAGTTAGTGTAAGGATCCTCGACGATCACTTATTTTTGGCATTCGATAGTTCGAGATAGGGATTTTCTATGAAATTATTATCTTTATTACATGATATCGTTATGGTTGTATATACATGTCACATGGCTTTCAGGCAAATTTCCAGGGCCTTCCGGTTCTGAACAGGCCTTCGAGAAAATGCATATATATGAACCGACGGGCCAAGCTATTGGATGTATTAGTGTCGCGCGACGAAATATTGATGAGTATAGTGTCACGAAAGATACATATATGGGTCAATGGGCCAGATATACTAGTGCATCCAGAGTCACGCGACTACATTTTCATGATTCAAAGAGTCCCTATTCAGTGTTTCGATTCATTCAGATATGAGTACCAATATGATGATATTTGTCATTAATTTATTTAGTTTCTTAGTTTATCTCCACTAAGTTTTTGATGCTCACCTCTCATTTAACATTTTAAGGTTGACAAGTTGGCGTCAGGACTCAGGGACTGCGCGGTGGTCACCTTCAGATTAAACTGGTGTTCTTATGTTTAAATGGTTGTTTGCATTTGAATTATGACTTGGGTATTTCATGATTGAGTTGGATTTGAGACTTTGAAATTTTGGTTTGAACACATTATGTTTTCCTTTGTCTTTAACTATGATATGAAGTTCATGATTATGATTTGAGTTTTAGGATATGATGAAGCTGAGTTGAGTTCACGGAGTTTAAATTGTTAAGTTGTTTATGAGTTTTATTATCATAGTACACAAATACCTTTGTGCTTTCATCCTCCAGAGGGCAATTTTTAGACCAAATGACGGCCCGCTTCGCCTCCGTACCCTTGTACAGATGGACCAGGATGACTACTTTTGTGCTTTCAAAATTAAAATGTTCATTTTGGCTCGAGTATTGTTTTCAAAATCCATAACGCCCCTTTAAAAATGTCGTGTTTACTTTCTGAAAATTGGGGCGTTGCCAATTTTTAGCTTTCTGACAGTTGAAGAAGATATGCTCTATGTCTTCCTTACCTTCACCACTGCTTCGCAAATCTCAATTACCTCCATTCCCCTTGTCTATTGCTTCTGGTTTGTGCTTATGAACCCATATCAACTTCTCAAAATGAAGTTTTTTAGTTTGCTTTTGACTGGCAGTTTACAGGTTCTGGTTCACATCTTCTGTAAAGTGTTGGCTTGATTACTTGACTCTGATTCTGTCTTTCACTTCAAATGGTCTTGAGTAAAGGATATCATAAAGTGACTTGACTGAGACTGCCCTTTCTTATGGTTTTGTCAAATTATCCTATCTCTTCTGCCCCCCCCC